TTTTTTTTTTTTTTTGACTTAGTATTGAGATATTTGTGGAGAGTGAAGATAACAAACATTGGAAACATTGAAACATCGGGCTGTTCTTGATTGCCTCATTGCTTGGCTGTTTTTGTGTGCAGCTGGGATTCTCAGTCTGTGTCCTTTGGCTGGTTTTTCCCGTCACACATGTTGACAAATGTGACAAATTGTGAAAATGTTTTTTGTCTCTACAATCTGTGTACATTAAAACCCTTGATTGCACTTAACTCTGTGTGGTCTGGTTGGTAATAGGACCTAATTTATCAGTCTTCTGTCATTTTATTAACCAGTCTTTCACTCGCTTTCTTTCTCCCTCTTTTCCAGACTTCTTCACAGAGTTGGACAAAGTTATGGGACCTCTGATTTTCAACACCAGCAGCATGACAGAACTGGTGCGTTACACTCGGCAGGGCCTCCACTGGCTGCGCTTGGACGCAAAAGTTAGTCCCTAGCGAGGACTCACTCCCTGCAAGCTGCTTTTCCACACACCCACACCTCAGCCTCTTGTGTTTGGCAACATCTGCTCAGAGACAGACACACAAACGCACGCACGCATGCTCTCAAAAAAGACAGACACACAAACACAACCCTCCTCTGGTCCTCCATTTACACACACGTGTGATTAACTTCTCAGACATATCTCCAACACTGTGTCCATTTCCTACACCAGCTTGCCAAAAAAAACAAAACAAGACAAAAATACCAACACTGAGCAATTTAGAGCATCTCTCACCTTCGACGGCACCACACAGGGAGAAGCATCCAAACTGCAGCAGGAGTCAGAAGAGCTTATCGCCTGGCTTCACACATATATCGGCATTCTTAAGAAATCTTCGAAGGCCATGTTTTTAATCTCTTCAGCATGGAAGCACTGGGTGAATTATTTATTATGAATACACTAAAACTCTGCTTTGGTTTTTAGGCTACTTTGGCTTTGAACTTTTTATTTGTCTTTGTTTCACCAAAGTACCTCCCATGAACACCAAAGGTGCTTTAAAAATGAAGGTTTCTCTTTATCATTTCTGTGCCTTGTATGTCAGCTACAGGAAAAGTCACCGGTCATATCTGATTCAATTATTTTTCTTTTCTTTTCACAGTTTTTACTTTTTTGTCTTTTTAACACTTAACAGTTGTTTCAGCAGTTATTCTTGCAGCATTTACTGGGTTTGTGTTTTGTTTTTGTTTTGTTTTTTATGTATTTGCAAAGCTGGTGTTGGTCACCACAAATTAAACCTTGAAGAATCCCACTGAAGATTTAAGGACTGAAGGAAGGGCTACTGTGCACAGCAGATTTCGTGGGGCACACACATATTTATTAATGATCCCTTAGGACATCTGTTGATCGGTGTACTTGGCTCAAAAAGTGCCATTTCATTTTTCAGAATCATGAAATGTGATTGCCCTTTCTAATAAATTAAACGCTTCACATGGCCTCCAGGGGTCGCTAGCGGGAGACCTCAGCAAGATTGATGATGGCAAATGTTGAGATTTTCCGCCTCTTTGAAGCTTCACAATTCTTTCCCACTCATAGCGGCATTGTTCATTCAAAAATTTCCTAGAGTGCGAGCTGTTTCCAAATCAGTGTTATTCTATTTTTCTAGGGAACAGCAGGGAGTGTTTAAGTATTGAAGATCATGTCCACATCCAATGCAGTCACAGTACATTTTATAAAAACTGGGCCTAAGTTGCCGCTAATTTGGCTGAACAGAAGCTAATTTATTTGAAGGGAAATATGTTGTCTGGGGAATGGAACTCATCAGCGATGCAGATGATCAGTGTTGTATTTATACAGCAGAGTTTTAAATCTATCATTATATATTTCAAGAAAAAGTATAAAAACCAATATAGATTTTATTTATATACCAACCAGTTTCTTTTACTTCCTTCTAGCCAAGCAAAAGTATAACATGCATAACACGCATAAAGCAGGGTTACAACAGAGGTTATAAGAACAAGTATTTGTATATGTTCCTATTTAAAGTTGTCAAACTGTAATCGCACTTGTATTACAAGATAGTAGCTGGCGCAGTATGTTAACATTGCGTTGATTTTTAGTTGGCATTTGGATTTTACAGTAATTCACTTACATGAACTGTCCATTTTGGTTGTTTCAAGCCCACTTTCTATCAAAATATGCTGGAAATACTAAAGCCTGGACCAGATGGCATTCATTTTGTTTTGGCTGGACAAGAACGTGCCAGAAAGATCTATAATGCCGTTTTTAATTTATTTTTCCCCCTGCATGTCAAGACTAAACAAAATGCTGTTTGGCCCAGGTTTGACCCTTCCTTTTTTTCCTGTTTTTTCTTGTCATTTTTTTTCTTTTACTGGCTCCCTGGCCTTTGTTGTAGGAAGGGATACTGTTATTTTCTCTTACACTTGAAAAAAAAAAAAGAAGCAAGTCATAGGAGGTATTATTTTAATCTATGCAGGATTTTTACAAAAAAAGAAACTGTTTCTGTGGAAAAAATAATTATATTTTTATGTTTGGGATTCCTCTGTCCCCCACTTTCTTTTTCCCACCTCAGTGAGAAACCTGTTGAACTCAAATCCAATGCCTTTAGCTATTGCAATTTTGTGTACTGGTTTAGTATGCGACCTTGGCTGTGTGTGTGTGCGCGTTCATGTGTGGGTGCATGGATGTGTGTGTATAGATCTGATTTTATAACCAAACACAGATGGCTTTAGCCATTTTCTACTTAAAGCTGGAGGCCACTTTTCTCATAGGAATTCCTCTGTGGGTTTTGCCAGCCCAGTCAATGTCTTCATACACTGGTACACTTTGTAAGTAGAGGTCAGCGCCTTGTGTTCCCTACACTATCTTGTACTCAAATGTAAAAAAGAAATGAATTTAAAAAAAATATCCTAAAACGAAAAAAATAAAAATTTAGCATTAGAGAAAATTTTTAACGATTTGCTACTCATACTTATTTATTTTTCTGCCCCTTTTGCTTAATGTTTCTTTCCTATTTTGCCTTTTTAATGAGCACCGTTTTATGAAATGGGAAGGTGTAAATGTAACGGGGTTGTTCAGGATGAGATTTCATTGTAATTAGTAATTAATATTAATTCTAACTTGAAAGAATCCAGGGTAAGATGAGGTTTTTTTGTTTTGTTTTTTATTCAGTAGGAAAATGTTAACACTTGCATGTTTCTATTTAAATACAAATGTATAAATTGTAAATATAACATTTCTTTAAGGGTGAATTTCTACTACAGGTTGACATTTTTATTAAATTTAAAAATGCTGTAAATATACTTGTGAGATATACTTTATGCACATTTTTTTTTTTTCTTCCAAGTGGTTACAGATTACACTCCTAGTCTGTTAACTCTGTATATCAAATGCTTTCTCAGTCCTTTTTCTAACTGTGCTGGTATTCTGTCTTCTGCTTCACTGTCTCAGTATCACAGTCGCCGCATAATCATTAACGTCTCTCGATCCAAGTGCGAATATTTTGTCTTCTCTGTATTTGATATGGAGCTGTGTACTTTTTCATGAAGTGTATATTGTTGATCTCATGGGATGGATGGATGGCATGTGCACAGTCTGTTCTGTAAAACCATGTCTGTTTCTTCCTCAGAGAGGTATATTTACTATGTGTCCCTTTTGAACAATTGGTCCAACATGTCTTTTGAAACAGAGGTATTTCTCTACACATCAAAACCAGTTGTAGCAGTTTATACAGTAAGTTGTATAACACCTTTTTTTCCCTAGAAGTTGTCTCAGAGCCGAGACCAGCAGCATACACTATGTACAATAATCTAAATTGGATTAGTTTTAAGAGAACTGATGATAGAGATGCTATATATGATGGATGCAATATGATTAAAGGTACTCATTGAAGTTTGATCTTCAAACTTAGGTAATGTAATTTAAAAGCATTCTTGTGAAGTGAGTATTAATTGTGACTAATAAAAGTCTGTCCTGAATATTCTTTGTATTTTGCCGTATTGAGAATAAAATATATATGGATATGTTTAATAGAGTGCTGTTTCTTTTTTTTTTTTTTCTCCCCATTTCCATCAGCTTTAGATTTTCTACTTGATGTAGTTTAAAGCAACTGACGTGTTTTGTGTCTTAACAATTTATAAATTTCTCTTTCATGTTTTGCCTCCGGAACTCTTAATTCATCTGGCATCAACAACCATACTCTGTTCAAAGTCCCTAAAATAAATCCCCTTGCTTTCCTTTTCTGATGCTTCATTTGAACCTTGGCAGGTCCTCCTGGACCACACGCTGTTGCCAGGTCAACAAGCAGTTGAACAGGTGTACTTAATGAAGTGAGCACCAGTTAAACAAACACAAAACAGAACTGCTTTCTCTAAAGAGTGCATTCTTGCAGGGAATGAGGGCTTATTTTAGTGGACTTTTTGACATATTTTTCACCAGGAACACATCATGTTGCAAAAAATCAAGCACATCATAAGGGTGGTGATCAGAGCTGTTAATTTAGTCGAAGCCAAATGTCTGAGCCATTGTCAATTTAACCTTGCTATCCCACACTGAAGTAATATTTATAAGCTGAGGGGCCCTGCAGGCGCATTTCTCTGCGATGACACGCTGACTGAATGTGGAAAAACTGAGACCATTGTTGAAATTGTTCCTATTTTTTCCAGACATCTCAGTCTGTTAAGTCTGGATGATTCACTAAATGCAAATGTTTTCAGAAAATCCGTGTACTTCTTTACACAGGAAAGGAACGTTTTGGAAATGTAATTATGCAGTGAGTTTTAGTGGCTTGAGGTAAATGAGATCAAATGATACTGTATGTGGCCTGCAAACTAAAATGGGACTAACACCCATCTAGACTGAAGTATTTCCCCCCTTAAAACAGTTTGCACAAGGAAGATTGCCTCATTTCTAAATATGCAATCTCAAGAAACAGTCTACAAAATTTGTCTGTGGTAGTAAAGCATAATGAACTCTTGCAATTATTGTTTGTTGTTGTTTCCTAACTTAATATCAGAATGGCAAATCTTGCTAGAATGAAAAAGATAAAACACCCTAAATAAATACAAATACAAGTTAGGTCCTGGAGTCACAATATACATTACAAAGTAAAAGTACTCATCTCTCTTGATAGGAGGAAACCTTTCTGCAAACCTTTGCAGTTTGAAGTAACTCCTGTGTAAATGTGACAATTTCACTCTGCAGCAAAAAAACATACCTGACGAGAGTTAACTTGAGCTTATTGGATAAAACCGATATAGTTTAACTTTGAGGACATAACTTGCAGTTGAAAAAAAGTTATAAATAGCAGTATGTGTTGTTGCAACACTCAGGATATTGGAAAATGTCAACAAAAAAAAAATCACAATGATATATTGTGAGTGAAGTATTCTGGTCATATTTTGTGGGGTGACTGGTGACTCCCACATCTAGTGAAAATACTTTGCATTAAGCAGTGATAATGAACCGTCGTGGTGTGTAATCAGAGTGGTGAACCACATATGAAGCTGTATTTGAATTATCCAGCTCTAGTCTCTTTTTACACAGTGTGACATCATTTTATCAACCCTATGTAGTGATGTGTACACCACAGATGGCTGCTGACCCAGGACAAAGCCTAGGCTTCATTCCACAGTGAATGAATTGCCACCAAGTGGCCATTAGTTGCTATTGTCATTGCTGTTATCCTGTCCTTTTTTTTTTTTTTGCCATATTATCAGTGGATTGCCACTTCAGTTGATTGTTAGTCAGACCATGTGACATGCACAGAGGTGATGGATAACTAAAAAGAGACACCCCAAGTGCCTCATTTAATCTTGAATCAGGGAGTTTAAAGGAACAGACAGAACAATGCAGAGTTTAAGGAAAAAATATTGACTGTAGAGTTATCTTGAAGATAGTTTATAGAATTAAATTATACTGAATGTGGTCCATGAACTAAATATACCTTTACATGTCCATGAATATGCCTTTATGGAGCTTACAGTAACTAATGCAATCTGAGATCATACAGTGTTTGTGACTCAGTAGCAAACGACATTAGAGTAACCTGACTTTCCCTGAATATCTTCACAGTGAGCTCATGACATCCCAAACCACCCAAATTGTTTGGCCTCAGTAATTCGTGTCTTTCAGTAAGATTAAAAAAAGGTGCCTAGTTAATCTTTCTGTGCATGAGACAAAAGTAGTTTATATAGCTTTGCATGGCAGAGCCTCTTAGAAATGATTAGCTCCTTTCAATCCACATTGCACCGGCCTGAGAACATTAACTCTTTGTAAAGGCAACTTGCCACATTTTAGTTTTATTATTTAGGCACATTTTAAACATTAGTCGCTTCTTATAGATAATTTTATTTTCAAAATTTTCTCTTTTTATATTTGAAGTTTAGCTTCAGCTTGCTTCCAGCTTGCGCCTCTTTCCTTCTTTCTCTCTCTCTCTCTCTCTTTTATAAATGAAAACAATACAGGGAAATTAACTTTTCCACTGTTCCGCCATGAATGTGTTCTGACCAATAGGATGTCGTGCATTTCCACCTCGCCCGCCTCCCGCCACGTCTAATTGGCCACCTTGGTCCTCCGTTACCTTTCATCCGCTTCTCTCTCCAGGGAATAAGGTAAGCTGAGTGCGGACGGAGGAAAAGGAAAGCTCATTACCAGAGGTTGCGAGACACGCCAGCTAACCATATACAGGTGAGCCGTCCTTGTTAGTTAGTTAGTGTAACTATCACTGATAAACGAAGAGGAAACCCACTGAAGACAACAAACCAAGAGTAAAGCTACAGTTTGAGGACCGCGAAGGAAGCGGGAATCGGCAGGTACGTTGAGGGTAGTTTAGAGTGGCAGCAGGTGCATCCAGTATCGCCGTGGCTGCTCAGTTTCGGTTGTCAGCTGTTAACCTGTTGGTTTATTAGTGAAAATGTTCGCAGAATACCTGTATGACAGTGACACCTT